ATAGTCTCTACGACCTTCCTAGGCGGAAATGCCAAAAATCACGGAAATTATGAACTGCGTCAAGCCAAAAACCGTTTTTTCGGCCATATTTCCGAAACGAAGCATTTTAAGGTATATGTTGCTTCATAAGTTGTATATAAATGTGGCTATTAGGCACATTTTGGTGTATCGGAATAGTCTTTAAGACCTTCCTGGGTTGAAATACAAAAATTCGAGTGACCGCGAAACCCTGAAAAAGGGTGTGGCCGAAAACGCCCTCATTGCATTTAGTACAAAAATGCAATGAAGTCCAAATGTTTTAAGCATCATCTAGAGAGGTGATAACCGTTGAGAAATCGCTTTTAACACGAAAAGCTAACGAGATTCCGTTTCGTCTCGGACTATAACCAGCTAGTACCCACCAGCCGGCTAGTGACCGCTTTTCAAGTGTCGGCTAGTAGCCGGTTTGGAACTAGAAGGTCCGCTTTAGAGCCGGCTAGTGACCGGTTAGTAGCCACTTGGTGGTTACTAGCCGGTTAGTAGCCGGTTAGTAGCCGGCTAGTGACCGCTTTTCAAGTGTCGGCTAGTAGCCGGTTTGGAACTAGAAGGTCCGCTTTAGAGCCGGCTAGTGACCGGTTAGTAGCCACTTGGTGGTTACTAGCCGGTTAGTAGCCGGCTAGCGACCGCTTTTCGAGTGCCGGCTAGTAGGTCCGCTTAAGAGCCGGCTAGTGACCGGTTAGTAGCCGGTTAGTAGCCACTTGGTGGTTACTAGCCGGTTAGTAGCCGGTTAGTAGCCGGCTAGTGACCGCTTTCTAAGTGCCGGCTAGTAGCCGGTTTGGAACCGGCTACTAGTAGGTCCGATTAAGAGCCGGCTAGTGACCGGTTAGTAGCCGGTTAGTAGCCACTTGGTGGTTACTAGCCGGTTAGTAGCCGGTTAGTAGCCGGCTAGTGACCACTTTCTAAGTGCCGGCTAGTAGCCGGTTTGGAACCGGCTACTAGTAGGTCTGCTTTAGAGCTCGGCTAATAGCCGGCTAGTGACCGCTTAGTAGCCGGTTAGTAGCCACTTTGTGGTCACTAGCCGGCTAGTAGCCGGTTAGTAGCCGGCTAGTGACCACTTTTCAAGTGCCGGTTAGTAGCCGGTTGTTAATGTGAAGTTGAGGAGCTGTTATTACAAAAGTGGCTACTAGCCGGTTAGTAGCCGGCTAGTAGCCGGTGTTCATATGGTACTGTGCAGGGACGTTGCATAGACGTTGCATAGACGTTGCATAGACGTTGCATAGACTGACCGTGCAGGGAGTGTGCATAGAGTGTTCATTGTGCAGGGACGTTGCATAGACGTTGCATAGACGGTTCTTTTGTTGTTGCACGGACGTTGCATAGACGTTGCATAGACTGTCAGGTGGTAAACGACCAAGTTGCCCTCTTTCAAGTAGGAAGGAGCTATATTATTTAAACACTTGTAGGCAAGTAGGGCAATCTTAAAATCTATTCTAAATCTAACTGGTAGAAAATGAACTTTCTTAAGTAGTGGAGTAGTGTGTGCCTTTCTTCCTCTCCCGAAAATAAATCTTACAGCAGAATTTTGCACCTTCTGTAAACGACTTAAATCATAAGAGCTCAGTCCAAAATATACGCTATTGCAATAATCAATTCTAGAGAGTACTAGAGCATGATTATTATCAAACTTTACACAAATCCAAAGTAGTTACTAAGAACATCCTAAAGACCTGGTAAGTCTACTTAAAAGACTTGTAGAACTGAAAACTTACTATAAATACAAAAAATGGAACTTAAAACTGAACTTATCAAAATCAAAAATTATGCAAAAAATTGAACTTAAAACTGAAATTATCGAAATAAACAAATTTAAAATAAATTTCTCCACAATTGGCGGTTCGAGGCTAAATACCTTAAGTCTGTCAAGTCGTCACTATTATTCAAATTAATATTTCTTTTATTCAAATCGTCTAAAATAGTTTTAAAAATATTACATTGATGTCTACCAATCCTTCCCCTCATATTTGACATACTATCAACAGCAAAATTTAGAGCTAGTTGTGGTGGTGAGTTGCAGTCGCTACGAAGAATGTGCCCAAACATTTTCCAGCGGGATTTATGAACTCTCTCTGAAAGTGGAGTTACATTGCAACGAGCATACAAGTCCTTGTTGCTGATGATGCGGGGATAGGTCATGTTGATGATACGTCTTAGATGTTTGCGTTGACACACATCAACTTTATTGATAATGTTCTGTGGGGCTGCCCAGCTGTTACAGTTGTACAATAAAACAGGGGTAACAAATGCTTCATACAGCTTGATTTTTACAGGAAGAGAAATGCGGGATTTCTCTGCCCATACCTTGCTGTATTTCTCAAAGGCAACGTAAGCAAGGATGCATCGGCGAGAGATGTCAGCCTTACTGCAGAGCTTGGATCCAAGAGAAATAGTGTTGCGCCAGGGCTCTCTGTTCTTCACGGGTTCACCCTTGGCGTCTACCTCGTCCTTATTTGCAATGTAGAAGTGGACATGTTCTGTTTTGTCCTCGTTCACAAACAGGTTCCATTCTTCAAGGATCTCCTTACATATGGGCAGCATTTCTTTAAGAGTTTCCTCATCCTCGTCTGCAAAATCGCCATCGTCGGCGTATTCCCATTCAATAGGCATGAGGGTCTCGGGGTTGAACGGTGGGTTAGGCCGAATGGTAATCACTACTGCACGGAAATGGTACAAAGCTCCAGCAAAGTACAGTGTGAAGAATGCACCAGATGCAGCATCACCTTGAAACGAACCCTCGGATGTTTCAAACTCTAAGGAAATGGTGTTGTTGATTTTTATCCTCAATTTGGTGTTGGAGAGCAAGTATCTCGCCAAACGTATGTCATCCTCACAACAACCAGCATCAGCCAAAAGTTCCAGGATAACTGATCTCTTGATGGTATCGAAGGCCGAGCTCATGTCGATTCCCATCTTGTGGAACTCCCATCTCTTCTCTTTAACAACAGAAATCAGAATTCGTTGAGTCCAGACAATATTGGCACAACTATGACCAGCCTTGTAGGCATTTTGCCATGGTCCTGTGTACTCTGCAATTTGCCTTTGAATTCTGTGTAGAGTAATCAAGGAGAGCAGTTTCCTAGTTCCATTCAGAAGGCAAAAAGGTCTGAGGCTCTTTAGAGGTCCTTTTAATTTTGGTTTCCCTGGCTTCTGAAGAGGGGTTAGAAACCCTTCCGTAAAAGAGGGTACATGCTCATGTACTTCAAATGATCGATTAATGAGACATGCATATTGCTGGAAGAATACAGGTGGTGCGTACTTCAGCAGCTCGTTAGGAATCTCATCAGGACCTACTGCTTTCCCATTTTTCAACTTTGAAGCAGCATATTGGACTTCTAAGGAAGTTATAGGAGTATTCAGAGGACGTGGGGGTCCAGTGAAAGGTACCAAAGGAGGGTCTGAGCTGGTGTAGTGATTTTTAAACCACTCTCTGATGATACTTGCTTTCTCATCGTCACTTGCAACTAGCTGATTTTCAGAGTTGAAGACAGATATTGGCTCTGACTCTTTGTTGGCAGCAAGAGCTCTGGTAGCCTCGAACATCCTCTTTGTGTCATCTGCAGCGTTGATGGTGTCAGCTAGTTGGTTGGCTAGAGCTGTCTCTAGCACTTTAAGACGTTTATTGATATCGTTCTTGAGTTTATTGATACGTTTTCTCAATACTGTCCTGTCTCTAACTGAATTGTTGTTCAGTTCTTGTAAAAGTTTGTGTCTCTCGTCAGACATATTACATACATGCTGATCTGATGAATGATGATGTCTTTGGGTTTTCTTCTTGACACCTACAGTGTTAGAGGCTGAACAAGCTGAATCTTAAGGTTAAAAGACAGTTTTGATGCAATAAACCACAAATTTCTGATCTGAATATTACATGCTTGAACCACTGACGTAATCTGATCACTCATTGAAAGATAACTGTCCAAATACAGCCCAAGACTCTTCACAGTTCCACTAACAACATGTGGCTCTTGATCCTTAACAATCTGTAGAGAGGCTAGAATATTTGTTGAGTCAAATTTAGAGGATATAACGATGACTTCAGTCTTAGAAGAATTCAGTTGAAGGAAATTGTTTGTCATCCATTTCTTGATATCAGACATACAGTGTTCCATATTGTGCTCTAGCTGTGATGGGTCATCAGAATCAAGAGTGAAATACAGCTGGGTGTCATCAGCATACAAATGAATACAGCACCCATGCATACTTGCAATGTTCTCAAGATCTTTGGTGTACAATATGAATAGCAGGGGGCCAAGGATTGAACCTTGTGGCACACCTATCTCAAGAACAGTTGCTGAGGAAGACGAATCCTTGACTTTGACACAAAATGAACGGTTAGCCAAGTAGGACCTGATCCATGTAAGAGCAATGCCTGTAATGCCATAAGCAGATCTTAGCTTCTTGATTAATCTTGGGTGATTGACAGTATCAAAGGCAGCACTCAAATCTAGAAGTAAAAGAACAACTTTAGTTTTCTTGTCAATAGTTATCAAGATGTCGTTATGGATTCTGGTTGTTGCAGTTTCACAGCTATGAAACTTCCTATAGCCGGACTGAACTTTAGAAAGCAATATGAGTGCAAGCCTCGACTGAATCTCTAGTCTAATTGGGGATCTTGGACAGATGTCTGCAGTAGACAAGCCCTCGCAGAAGTTACAGTAGGGAATGAAGAAAAAAAACAGAAGGGTATATATACCTTCAAAATTTTTACTGCAATATTCACAATGTCACAATGAGTTTAACCATACATCTAAGCCATGTTCAACCAAAGGAAGTTTTTTATAAAAACCTCCACTCATATCATATTAACACCCTATGTTGATGTGTTCCAAACTATGACAATAACAACCAAGCATCAATTGTCACTTGCACTAATCTAAATATGATTTCTTGTTGCTTCTGATATCTCTTAATCTTTAGTATATCAATCACTGATAATCATTATCAAGTTACAAATGTATTTCACTCTGCATTGATATGCTCTTACATTCGATCCAAAAAATAATCTAAAATCGATCAGGGAATGGTAAAGGAGTACATAAAAAAATACAGCTTGTATTCAGCAGCCTATCATGAACACCAGGCTCATTTGCTCTCTCAGTACCAGGAGAAAAAGAAGCAGATTGAAGAATACCTACAGGAGATCAAAGATGTTATTATTGATGATGTCAGAGATTCAATGAGAGACAGAAGACAAAGCATGTAAGTACTGAGATTAATGCAATCAAATATTCTTGATTGCTCCATTTGTCTATTATATTTTTCTTTGAAATATGGTATTTTATAAGTACACAATGTCTGTTTCAGTGATGCGTGTATGACAGTAACTGCACCCAAGACACCCGGAATGACAATTCGGCGTACCAAGAGAAAGATACAAGAAAAGAAGGTTGAAATCGACCTTAATTCTCCTGATACATCCATTTCATTTGCAAATATTGAAGTTCAAGGTAAAACTATAATGATTTGATATTGATTAAATAAATTAACGACACAAATGTTAGTTTTGCACATAAGAAAGATTATAGAGTTGTCGATTTTGGCTGTTCGTTAAAACGATTTTAGGTTATTAAATGTGGTGTTCATAAAACTTTCAATGTAGATAAATGCTAAAATCATCAACAATTGCAGGATCTGCAAGATTCACAGGATGCACTTCACGTTTGGACTCTACCAACAACACCATAACACCTACAAACACCATGACACCCAACAGAACACAGTCTGCGTTCAAACAGACACGATTACAGAGTCTACTTGAACAGAAATCAGTTTTAAATCTTACTCCTACGTAAGCTGATGTTTCAATTAACTTATAAAAGAGACAAGTTGATTATCTTTAGTGTCTAGAGCTATCAATTTTGGTTATAACAAATTGGTTGAACTATTTATATATTAGTTTAGTAAATGCAGGAGTGTGTTTTACCAAAGTTTATCCGCATTGAAACAATGGTCGTTCTGAGCTTTCATCAGAATGAACTGTTCAATTCGGATCATCACCTATATCATCACCTATATCTATATATACTACATGTACAGTGTACACCTATATCTATATATATATACTAATCAATGTCACATATTTTCAGGAGCGGTAGAGCAACAAGACTCACCAGGGCAAAAGTCAAACTTCTGGAGCAAAGCTTGATCAACTCTACCATAAACTCTATGCAATCTGTTAATAATAATACTCCCAGTTTAAAAACGAAACTTCTTGATAGATACGGTTAGTTAAATAGTTCAAAAATAATGTTTTGTACGATTTTTGATAGCTTAGTTGTCAAATTGTATCCTGGTGATGTCCAGATTGTTTGTTAAGATATATATAACAGCCTGTTCCTAATACCAAGAAATATCATAACATTTTCATCAGACGAAGACATTACTGCGACCCCATCAAATGGCTCTACGACACCTCAAAACCGAACAAAATCAACAGTTCCTCACGACGAATCCACCTCCGCCACCCCACAAAACAAAACAGCAGTGGGTGTTACCTTCGCTCTGGGAGCCACCCCTATCCAAGAAGAGATTGGTACACCAACCCAAGAAGAGAGTGGTACACCAACTCATGTAGAGTTCCCAGCAGCGAACAGCACCATGATGCAACCTGGCACTCCAGCAGCTAACAGCACTATGATGCAACCTGGCACACCAGCTGCTCCTTTCGGTGCTAATATTACTCTTATAACCAACACTCCTAAACAATCAACTCCTGGTACGTTGTGATGATCACGTGTTATTTTGTGTGTTATTCTTTATTAATCCAATGGCTGAGTGGCGGCTTGCGCTCATGCAAAGTCAACACAGTTATTGATTTGTGGCCGAAATCTCTGAAGAAAGCATGTTCTAGACGTTTATATGTCTCACTTTTAACGAAACAGAGTTATCACTTACGTTATGCGAGTTCCTATGTTTCAATTCATTGTTTATTTCAGTGGCAGGAAAAGCAGAGGCTTTGGTGGTGTCATCTCCAATTGGACCTATTGCCACTAGTGGCACCCCAACTAGAAACCAAGCTATTGATACCGAAAAAAACACAGTGAGTCATCTCAGTTTCATCTTCGATTTTTTGTAACCAGTACATGGGTGATTGAAATTCATAGGAAATTTGAGATTTCAGTTGATCGTATGATTTACTTTTAAGAATTAAGCGCCCTGTCCCCTTGCTGACTAACTTATCGATTTTTCATAAAATAAAACGTACAATTTCAGAGTGACTGGGTTGTTAGCACTGGAAAACGAAAGTTCAGCAATGGAAAATCTACAGTGAGCACTCCAAGCCCTGCGACCACTCCAAGGGGCACACCAGGCCCAGCTTCCACTCCAGTTATCAAACGTCTCCAACTATCCACATACCAACCTTCTCCCGTCCCCATCGCAACCCCTGCTGAGAAAGCACCTGCTCTTCTATCTCTCACCATCCCCGGTACACCAACCCCTGAGAACGTATCCGCTTCTCTCTTCCCAAGTCCTGTTGAAGAGGTTGGAGTACTGCCAGGCACTCCGAGACTGGAGGGTAACCCTGATGTTACAAGGACTCCTAATATGAACGATATTCAGGCTCCTGGAGCTCTGGGCAGGACTCCAGGGTTGAGCAGAGTGAAACAAGTTCTGGGAACTTTGAATGAAGTGGAGAGAGGGAGGAGTGGAGATGATTTGGTTTTTCTCGGGGAATCAGCCGAAAATAACGATGATGAGGTGGAAGTTGGATTGGGCGAAGTCGAGGTTGCTGAGGGAAGTGAATCCAATGGTGTAGAAGATGAGGAGAAAGTTGAGATTCCTGTCGTAACTCATGATGAAGAAAAAGTTTCTATTGACGAAAGTCCTGAAGAAACTGAAGACATGGAAACCTGTGAAAATGTTGAAAGTGAGTCAGACATAAAATCTACTGAAATCATTGACGGCGATACTTCCATGCGATCAGATCCAGACCAAAAGAACGTGTCTATGGCATCAGAGCAAATCGGCAACGTTTCAATAGAACATACTGATGCGAAAACTGAGTCTGAAACTGAACCAGAAGCCATGGATGTAGCCGGAATTCCTAAAACAACTGACGATAATACCAATGCACCATCTGAAGAAATCGCAGCAAAATTCTTTGAAAGCCCCAAAGTTCTCAAGGAAGAAGTAAATTTGGTTACAAAGCCAGAGGACAGTGGCGACAAAGAAACAGTTTCTTCAGAGCCAGAACTACAAACAGATAACCTGGAAACTAAAACTGATAATGAAATATCACTGGAGGAAGAGTTGCAAGCTGCTGAAGTTGGTGATGGGAATGAATCAAACCAACTTTTTGAAAGTTGTGATGAAGGAGGTGAAAAAGAGAGTGAGGTAAATGTTGTGGACCAGTTTGCAGATCATGCTATTGAAGAGGAAGAGGTGGAGGAAGAGGAACCTGCCAAGGTATAGTAAGACTTTGACAATTCTTTTAAAATTTTGAATAAATTAAAATCAAGCTTTTGTCACCTTTGGAAGAACGACAAACTGATATTTGTTCTTTTTTAATTTCAAAGAAGAAATACCTGTTATATGATATAATAGTTACCCTTCTGATGAAATATTTGAACCTCCGATGAAATGTAATACTTTTATTCCAGCACAATATCACACAGTCACGTAATATCTCTCCTTACAGACCGAAGAAGAAGAAACACCAGCTCCGCCAACTGATCCTAAAACCCCACGACCAGTTCGACAAACCAGGTCATCCCGGAACAAGAAACACGCAGAATCTAAACAGAAAACTGAAGAAAAGGGGAAGAAGCCAAAACGAGTGGGAGTAGATAAAAAAGTTATGCAGAGTGGAGGAATTGAGGTTGGAGAGGGTCTAGCTAGAACTAGAACTAGAACTAGAAGTGGGAAAGAATCAGATGAGCAGAGAACATCCAGTCAGGTTTATTACCTTGCAATACTGGATTTATAATTGTTAATTTGATTTTATTATTTAATTTATTTTTTCTAGAAGATGTTGTGTTCGCGCAGTTGCACAACTTTTTTTAGGACAGCAATTCTGCAAGATTTGATAAGTCGATGCTTAAATTGTAATAAAATATGTTTCCAACTAACTAACTCGTTTCTTGATCACTTAATCAGGGAACAGTAAAGAAAATAGCGGCTGACTACGAAAATATCTCCAAGAAAACTGTCAAAGAGGCTGGAATCTCAAGAATTCCGACCTTGTCATCTAAAAATCAAGCCAGGGACGACAGACTTGACATGTCCAAGCGCGAACGAGGTAATCTATCAAATGATAACCTCAATTTCACCGTAGTTAAATACATACTGAACTTGCTTAGCAAACCATGTCCCCTAGATAAACAAATAACTGTCCCTAGCAGTCGAGATACTCTTACATTATTTAGTAATTTGTTTACTAATTTCTGTTACAGAAGAATCTGAAGCGGACAGTATGGAAGACAAGACTACAAATTCGTACGTAATTTAATTTGTCGGACAACAACCGTATAACAATAACTTTATTCCTTTTTTACTTATCAATCAGTCATGATTTTCAGCTTATACACCAAGTTATCTACAATTTGTAATAAGCGGTATGTATTTTAATCATAATCTAGTGTTTTGTTAAAGATCAAATTCCATTCCATTAAAAGTTACACCGCCTGATTCCTGAATCTTTAAAAACATTTCCTTTCATCAGTGCTGACGAAAGTATACACCTAAAGAAGAGGATGAAGGACAACGCAGGAGTACCCCGCAACCCTCAAAACCTTGTCACATCAGTAATGTCCTTCGTAAACAAGCCGGTAGTTGTGGTGAAGACTGCCAAGGAGCTGGAAGAGGAGAAGAAGGAGGCTGCTAAGAAGAAGATTGAGGAGAAGGAGGTTAAAGCACAGCAAGTTCTTAACAAAAAGAAACAACGAGAGAATGAGTTGAGATTGTAAGTTTAACGCAAGAAAAACCGACTTCCCATCAAAATGATCATGTCTTTGACCGACTGAAAAGTGCTCCAATTCAATCTCACTATATTTTAATATTCTACAGTTCCAGTCCATATGTTCTCGTATGATAAACTTCTCAAACCCCTAAACGCTAACTACACGTTATTAATGACTTTTAACCGGTTTTATTTTGCAGGAAGAGGATCGAGAAAGATAAGAGGATGAAACAAGCGAAACAGAACAAGGAAGATGAGGCGAAGAAGAAGAAAGCAGATCTTGAAGAAAGGATGAGGAAGAAGGATGAAACATCTGGTAAGAGATTTATGATTATTTGAATGGAATTTGGATGGTATTTGAGTGGAATTCCGAGTTTGACCATCCAAATTCCAAACTATCTCTTTTGAGAACAATCCACAACTTGGCTAATGATGTCATAAATTTATTAATTAATCTATAATTTAGTGAAAGAAAGAGAGATGCTGGCTAAAAAAGAAGATGAGAAGAGGCAGAGAGAGTTGAAGAGACAGGAACAGGCGGAACAACGTCGCAAGCAAGCTGAGGTGAGAACTGTCTATATATAACAGATAACAATTAACAGCTACTGTGTTTACTTTGTAATCTACGACATTGTCTGCCATGTCTGGGTTTAGTTATCTGCCGCTCTTCAGTCAGTACCACTTGAGAAACTCGTTGAATTTATCAACGTATATAGAAGATATTTTCTCATTTCATACTACTGATCTACCAATTCAATCTTATTTACAGAAAACCAGAGAATTGAAGAAAAAGAAGCTGCAAGAGGAAGCGGAGGAAAGGAAAGTAGATGCATTGAAACGAAAACAGGTACATAATAAATCGATATCATTGTAATCTTAACAGTAAGTTATTTGAACTGATCTACCCCTGCAGGAGTTTCTATTCACAATGGAGCGACATTTTCTTAACGATTTCTCATTATCAAGGAATTGGAGGCACTCAAAGTACGAGAGCTAGAGAAGCATAGGATGGAGGAAGAAGCAAGAATGGAGGAACAGAAGAAACTAGAAGCAGAAGAGCATGAAAAACGACAAAAAGCACAAGAGGTAGCTATATAATATGCTTATCTTATATTGAGATTGATATGACCGATACTACCAATTTTGCCCTTTTTCGAAATCGCTTCGCGATATCTTATTTGATTCCGCAGACAATACCGCTCGAATTACATGACCGGAACAACAGGTTTCCCGCCCTTGTAATTGTGTTTTATCTTACAATTCACGAATTTATTCTGCTCAGGCTAATATATTTGTGTTTTTTTGATATGTTACTATCTTATCATTCTTCTAGGAAAGAAGGAAGTTGGAGGAAGAGATCGAGAAGAAGAAAACCACTCCGAGTAGAATGGGAGCGAAAACGAAACTTAACCTGACAGGTTGGGAACTTTAAATAAATATTCTACTGCTGTTTGCTTTTGGGATGTTCATTGTTAAGAATCATATCATAATTTGTTAATATTCCATTGTTATGGGACCTTTTTGTATTCATTTATTGTGAAAATTAAACATGGATACAATGGACGAGATTGCATTATCAGTTTTTAAATTCCATGATGAATTGTCAGGCGCCGGAACTCTTCTGGGAGCCACGCCTACTCCACGACCCCCTCCCCGCACAAACAAACACGCTGCCAGTAAGATACCCACCAAAGCGGGACGCGCTGTGGAAGAGGCGGTCCCTGGAAGTTTACTTATAGATCTGGAAGAGGCGTCCAATGTGTGCTCGGACAATGAGGAGGTCAGGAGCATTCCTGCTCCAATATTTGCGAAGGTGAAGGATCTATGATTACATATGATGATATCTGGGATTTTGTTTCTCTTTGTCTCTTGTTTCCTATAAAACCTCCTAAACGTGGACATGTTCCGTTACATCTAGCTCATAAAACTAAATACTGCATCATATTTCAGAAGGATGAGCCCTCTGTTGATAAACCTACATCTTTAACTAAAACAACCTCCGGTTTACTCACTCCTATTGGTAAGCAAATATTACATTTCTTCAGAATGGTATTCCATGAATTTGGACGATAATAAAATCCCATTAAGTGCAAATCTTTTTGTCATCTTAGTATAGAGTTTGGGCTTCAAAAATTTCACACAAAACCACGTTTGCAGCTCTCGTTCCAAAGCAGGAACCCCATTATTGATTATCATAATTTATGGTTTACTAGCTGTACAGTGTAAAGTGTACCCATCCAAACATTTGATGATCGCTTCAATGATCAAGTTACAAACATATTGTGAACAATTATCCTATGATCTAATTTCTTTCTAATTAAGTCCACGAAAAGTTTATTTAATCCACGTATCAGACTTCAGGTGCTACTTACTAGGAAAATTCGGTCCAACCGGTTCAAATATAGCAGTAGATAAACATAAGGCTAAATTATAACTTTATCCTCTCATTTCACTTTAGTTAAATTAAAACCCCACAGCCCAAGCTCCAGAGTCAGTAGATTCACCGAGCAGTGCAGCTTCAAGTAGGATTCAGAGCTACATGAAGAACAAGCTCCTCAGTCTCGGACAAACTAAAACTAAGAGAAATCTCGGAAGCAGGTCAGATTGACCTGATAATACACATGCTAGAACATACATCTTTTTCATTCTTCCCTTTTTTTTGTGAGTTTTCTTCTTTTTATGTGCTGCAAGTTTTTTTCCTTATTTGGACGCATTTTTTTCTGAAGAGAAATTTTGTATTTCTTTGTTTCCAGGATGGAGTCAATAAGCGAAGGCAACTCAATGAAGGCGTCCCCTCTCTCTTACGATCCTAGAGATAATTATAAGATCGACGATATTGAATCTGGTGAGCTACATTTTCCAGCAACTCTCCTTTTAGCTTATTAACTACTTCTTAGTTATTTAAAGGATAATAATGGGATGTTTCGTGCTTGATTGATTTGTTAGAAATAATAAATATAAGTCAATTGAACCACTTTCAATTTGCCATATATATAATAGTAATTTATCAGTGCTTACAAGTCACCCATGCTTTAAATAAATAAACCGTTCAAAGTAAATACATAATTTGTAACAATGCTAGTAACAGAAACCTGATAATTCAGCTACTTATGCAATTGATTTCCTCATATCTATTTCCATCTAGGTGACGACACTGACGACGAGAGTAAACCAAAGAGAACCATGCCTAGCTGGGCAAGAAACAAAATATCTCTCAACGATTCCCTGAGAAAACAGTTTTCTGGGATTGAAAAACATTCTGCAAAGACAATATTTGGGCCGTTTCCCAAGACAGCTGATCTGGATCAGTTGTTTGGCACTGTCAATAGAGTACGTTGTAGAATTGTCATGTTATAAGTCTTCGTTTGAAACCAATGAAGCACAGAAATCATGTTTATGCCATCAATTGCATTTTATACATATTTTCCTCATCTTTTTCTTCAAATACCCTACCTGATATTTAAAGCTGATGATGCAGATTACCTTATATATTTACCTTATATATTTAGTTATATATTTACCTTATATCTTTATATATATTAAAGAACGTGTTCGTTTCTCGTGTTCGTCAAAGTGCTTATAGGAGCTTTTTATAAGTGTTACAAAGTAAACGACGGTTCACGGTATTGTCCAACAATAAATTCGTTTACTTTGTAACACTTTTACCTAATATATTATGTTAATAATTTATATTATGTTATTTCAGTATACCTCCCGAACAAGCTCGGCTCACTGGTCCGCTCCTCCTTCAACTGGAAACTTAGACTTCTCAATCTTAACAGAGGACGAGATAAACCACGCAAACAACATTCTACTTAAATACAAATGATCCTGCGAGGTTCTTAGTTAATTGATTAATTAGTAAATGAGTTAATTGGTTTGTGAATAATACGTCAGTTGGACAATGCAAATAAGTGTTTTGCGGAGAAGTGGTTGTTGGTTTGAGAGAAAAGGTAAGAAGTCAAGTCAAAAAGAGGTTTAAATTAACTTCCTTGAAATTACTCTACAGAAGGTTACTATTGTTGAATTTCGTTGATTTATTCATTGTACCTGTTTTTGATGACAAACTGTTAAATATTTGACAACTCTGACCAAAACCGATTTAGTTAAGTATGACGAGCAAAGTTTAAATTGCATGAAATACATTTGACTCAATTTTGCGAATTTCAAGTCGTTCATACACACCGATTCAGTAATTCATATCAGAATTTCTTCGGAGGAAACGCGGGAATCCGGTTTTGAATTGTTTGTTTGCATCTTTTATACTAGTAAATTTCTGGACAGTCTGTATGGAAAGTTGATTTGAGCACTATTGCTGCGCGCAGATTAAGAATTTGTCGAAATTTGAAGATTTCGTATGTACCGCGGGTTACAATAAAAGCCTGTCCATTTACCGCATTTCATATATTCGGAGATAAGTAGATATCTGATAAGAATTCGATGATAAAAATCACTTAGTTCATAAATTGTATTGTTCAGTTTAAAGTTATTGCAATACTTTTATTTCATCGAATTTTAAATTCAATTCATTCGTAATCCTTTGTGTCACTTTACTTTTATCATAAATTCTTTCGCAAATGTATGTTATTATAAAAAGCTTCAACTTCACCTCCGATAGATTTTCAAAATCTTAATCATTTTCAACCCATCTCACTAACTTTCATTTTCTAGCTTCAATCATGCCTGTTGAGGAAAGTGGACGAGCGCAGCTTTTTAAGAATAGCAGTCGTGCAGATGATTCTCGAAGGAACCGCCAAGACATGGTCAGCAAGCTCCGAAAAGACAAGAGGACGGAACAGATGCTCAAACGTCGACAGGTCACCAGTAACCACTAGCCGCGCTTAGAACCACTTATAATATATTAGGTGTATAATGTCCATAGAATTCATTTGAGCTCATCCGGTTCTATGGTGTAATGGTTAGCACCTTGGACTTTGAATCCAAAGATCCGAGTTCGAGTCTCGGTAGAACCTCTTTTTATTTCAGGCGTGCTGATTTTCAGAATTTTGCTCCTCTGATAAATTGATATCGAAAATAAATCATGCCTTTGATTCAAGTTTACATCACGAAAGTTCACTGAAAAGCGGTCATGTGACAACGCGCGTCGCTCATGTTATACAATAGGTAGCAATTAAATCCATGGCTGTTATATACTATCAATTACCAAGTTAATGATTCGCGTGATTTGTGAATTAATCATACTATTGTATTGTATGTTATGTGTATTGACAAGAGGTCAGTCGATATTACTGCTGATCACATGATCGTCTCAGACATATGTGTGATGTGTATATTACGTCATAGTAAGAAACTTGTCTTAATACTTTCTTATTTCCCCTTTTAGAATCTTAGCGTTTCTAGTATTAATTCTCAAAATGAGACTGTATTCCATGATTGGCTTACGTAATTAGTAATCTATCCCTGTATTTACGCTCAAAACGATTTGTATCTACAATCAAATATTTGTATCTTGTTATTTCACAGATAAGAAAATACCTAACAACGCAGTGCAAGTAGAAGTCGTTTGTACAAACATTAAAATTTGAAAACTCATGCACCGGGTCCTTTTATCAATTCTTTATCTTTTCAGGTAGTGGAGGATAGTGAGAATGAAGTTACCGACAAGGATTCCAACGCGGTCCCTCCACCGGACCCAGTCCAGATAAAAGCTCTTATTGATAGTAGTAACGATATTAACGTTATCTTGGGGGCTGTACAGAACTGCAGAAAGGTTTGTCAATGATTTGTAGTTAGACGTTTATGATTCATCTCTTAAAGGCATATTATTAGAACTGATTTTGTAAGCAGCCCTTAAATCAATTCCTTAGTATTGCTATTTCAAGAAACGGAAAGCTTCAATGTTTATTCACTTTCAGAATAATACTGAAAATTCGATGATTTTGTGTTTGAATTGTAAGGATAAGCCGGAAATTCTTGGGTATCGTGATTATCAACTTTTGATTGATTTAACATTAAATCAAATTAAAATCTTGAATAAAGGCCAATATTCATTGTTCACTAAATTGTTATGTGGTGAAAAGGTCACGCCTAATAGGAACTTACAGTCTCCAAACAACGAAAATATCGTATTTTGTAGGTTGAGTGAGAAAGTTCCGGATTCTTATACATGTAGAAAACCTCTCAAACTTTATCAAGTTCGAAAAAAAAGCCTTACTTCTTAAAGTTATCAAATTACTTACCTCTTATTTAAATCTCCCAGGTGCTATCCCGAGAACAGAGTCCACCAATAGACGAGGTGATAGATTCAGGTCTCCTCCCCAAACTGGTCCAGTTCCTGCTCTGTGATGATAACCCTGCTCTCCAGTTTGAGGCTTGCTGGGCCCTCACCAACATTGCTTCAGGTGAGGAGAGGTGACTTGTCGGGGGACAATTGGATCACAACAAGATATTGTATTTGGAGACAATACTGAATGGAGTTGGGTTAAAAACATATAAGTGATACGATAGTTTTACTTGTAGAAGCTTTCAATAAACATGTGTTAATCGTCGTCAGCTCAGACAATAATTCACTCCCAAGATCACGACGTAGTAAATTTATAAAGCATATAATATTTTATTCTATAGCACATCTTATCCCACTTGAACTAAATGTCTGATTGTAGGTACGAACAAGCACACCAAGGCGGTTGTGGAGTGTGGTGCAGTGCCTCACTTTATCAAACTACTGAGCTCCGATCACGTTAACGTTTGGTAAGTTGTGTAAAACTTTATTTTAATTACTAATTATTTATTTATTGAAATGGTGTTTTATTTTTGGTTGTTCTTTGCATCAGTGTGGTTTAGTTTCTTTTGACTTTAGCCAGCCAGTTCAGTTGATTAGATTAGAATCTCCAGATATATCCAGCAAATAACTTCACTTCAATGTAAAAACTAAAATGTATCTGTTAATCTACACCATGTCCCTAGTGAGCAAGCAGTTTGGGCGCTAGGTAACGTAGCTGGTGACGGATCTACCTACCGCGACTTTGTGATAAACTGTGGCATTATCCAACCTCTCATCAAACTAGTCAACCCGGAAGTTTCCATGGGATTCCTGAGAAACATCTCCTGGACTATGAGCAATCTTTGCAGGAACAAGGTCAGTTTGTATCATCTATCAGTTGTATTGGGGGGAATTTAGTACTTTAGTCGAGATGATAAACGGGGTTTATTTATAATCGATTGATAATTACCGATTACTCGCCAATTACCATTGACTCCCTCAGGACCCTCCACCCACGATGGAGACTATAGAATCACTGATCCCCACTATCTGCAACCTCTTATCCTATGGAGACAAGCACGCTCTCAGTGATGCTTGCTGGGCTCTTTCTTATATCACCGACGGCAGCAATGATAGAATTCAGGTTGTCTCGCCATTCCCTTTTATTTCGCAGTAAAACTCACTTTACAGAAGTATACAGATTATCGAATTGCTCTAATGCATATTTGATAGTACTGTATTAATATTATATCAAGTATTAAAATACAGGATCTTCGACTGGTTAGTTACCTTACGAGACATATTTATACTCGACGAAATTCGGGTGACCTAAATGATATGGGAACAAAAATATGGGATTTTTTTCCCGAAAACCAACTCATTTCGTACCCCAAATTAAATCACGGTATTTGGTGAAAAATTATGGTAACCTAAATTGTGGTTGTCCGAAAATATTATGTTTTTTTCCGGAAAACCACCGACTGTCGTACCTTTTAAATATGTTTCGTAATGTATGCCCGATAACGTTATTCTGCCGAATAGATTTGATGAATTACTTCAACTAACTTTAGCCAATCTCTCATTTCAGAGAGTGATAACTTCAGGAATAATCGCTAAACTGGTGGAACTGTTGGGCCACGCTGAGGTCCTGGTGGTTACCCCAGCTCTCCGTGCTGTTGGCAATATCGTTACTGGTAAGTCAGTGACCTGTGTTAATGTTAGTCACGTGGTTACGTGATGACGTCATTGTTTAGGTTACGTGATGACGTCATTGTTTAGGTTACGTGACGTCATTTTAAAGTGCATATTTTCACTGGATGTCATGGACGTGAATTTTGTATTAATGCTCCAATAATTTGGGGAAATATCAGGCTACAATGAGGAGACTGTAGTCGGAGTAACTTATAAAAATTACTGTTAATTACAGTAATTTCTGAAGATTACTGTAAATTACAGGTAACGATGAACAGACACAAGCCGTGATCAGTTCCGGTGCTCTGAAACACTTTGAGAAGTTGTTGTGGCACAAGAAAAACAACATCCAGAAGGAGGCTGCCTGGACTATGAGTAACATTACTGCTGGAACAAAACATCAGATTCAGGTAAATGTTGTTCCGTAAACCATAGCATCATCATTATTATAATATAGAAGTGTAGTGTGGTGTGCAACCATACTTCAAACATCACACAAATCACAAAGTTAACTATAAAAACTGATATTTAGTAATCTTAGTTTACCATGAATATCAGGACTAACTTATAATTATGAAGCTAACTTCTACCTAAACCCCCAGTCTGTGATAGACGCCAATCTGCTACCCTACATTATAGACGTGTTGTCACGCGGTGACTACAAGACTCAGAAGGAAGCAGTGTGGGCCGTCACTAACCTGACCAGTGGTGGAACACCTGAACAGGTACGTGTATATGTAGTCGGCAGTTTGTTCGGTTGTCTGTCAGTTTGTTCGGGTGTCTGACAGTTTGTTTGTTCTGGTGTCTGACAGTTTGTTTGTTCGGGTGTCTGGCAGTTTGTTTGTTCGGGTGTCTGACAGTTTGTTTGTTCGGGTATCTGACAGTTGGTTTGTTCGGGTGTCTGACAGTTTGTTTGTTCTGGTGTCTGGCAGTTTGTTTGTTCGGGTGTCTGGCAGTTTGTTTGTTCGGGTGTCTGGCAGTTTGTTTACTCGGGTGTCTGGCAGTTTGATTTTTCGCAGGTTTGTTTGTAATTTTGTTTACTGTTAGTAAGCGGGTATGTGTGTTTATCAGTCTGTTTTGATAGCAGTCCCTTTATAATATGTTGACCTTGCTGTACGGCAAGTTAAACAAGGATCTGAAACTACTAGGTTCCGTACAGACTCAACTCTGCACCCGTGTCAATATGTTCATTATATGCAAGCCTCTTGATTTATAACCCACTTGCACTCTTCCTACTGTAATTTCTGATATGGCCAGTTGATCATATTTCTTATTAGTTGCATGTTTATCTGAGCAGTTTAACAACAGCTAGACCAACAGTTTGCTGTTATTTCACCGATCCTACCAATTCACTTTGAGCGTGATTCTTTCTCAATTTCTCGTATAAGGGGTCGCTGTCCACTTTAAATAGTTAGGTTGATCGCAAAGTAAAAGATACTCCACCTTTTATGGTATTATCATACTGGAATGAATATGAACAGCTCGGTAACATTGACCTGAATATAATGTCATACATGTACGTCACGTTTAACGGACTAAACTCTGGACAAATACTTTAATAACAGCTACAGGGAATGACAAATATTCCGAAAGCTTGGTTTATTGAAAAATAGCAATTGTATTATTTATCCCATCTCATAATCTAACCAATGGGAAAATATCGTATTACGTCAGGAAATTTACATATAGATAGATAACCCAGATATTAATGATTTAATTATTGTGTCAGAATAAAATTAGCGTCAGTATTGCATAACCCGTCTCTCCACTGAACCTCACCAAATCTGAATGTCCCAAAACCTCAAGTAATCCTCCAAATTGTCATCTCAATCCCGTTTTCCTCCTCGAAGCTAGGACTGACTGGGTCCCTTCCCGGAGTCCTGGGACTGGAAGCGGTCAACAAATACCTCTCCGTAACAAATAGTTGAGACACATACCTCCTGAACCGTGCATTTGTTGCTACGTATATAAACGGATTCAGTACCACATGTATACTCTTCGCGTAGATCTGAAAGAGAGTGAACCAGTTTGGTACAGTAGTTCCGGTAGATTTAAGGATGATAAGGATGAAAACAGGCAGATACGAGATAAGGAGAGCCCAGCAGATAAGGTTTACTGTAAGGAGAGTTCGGAGGTGGTGGACGATAGAGCGACCTGCTTTCAGCGTATGAAGGATGATAGTGTACATTATCTTAATGTTAGCTATGAAGACTGTTATCATAGGTATAGCCACGTAGAACACAGTGAATACCTTGGTTGACGTGAAGGTAGTGGATGTGGGGAGGTGGTTTGAAGACCAACATATCAGACCTCGTGTGAAGAAGAACGACTCCGCTTTTGAGCCTATCCAGAAGACAACAGGAACAAAAGTGCTCAACCAGATGAAACCAATAACTATCTTGACATGCCGTAGATTGATTCGTTTCCTAGCAGCAGGGGGTTTCTTCAGTACCCACAGCCGGTAAACAGATATAGACACGATGATCAGGATCTCCGCGAGAAAGGGAATGTGTGAGCTGAAGAAGCCGGTGAACCAGCAAGCAGCCTCCCCGAATAGCCAGATACCAGAGGGGACAGTGGCCAGCATGGGTGTGTAGAAGAATAGGGAGATTATTATGTCTGCAAATGCTAGGTTCTCGATGAAGAGCAGGGTTACTTTGTCCATGTCGAGGGCTCCTGGGGGTAAGGAATGTTAGTTTAAGGAATGTTAGTGTTAGTGTAGTGGGGACAGATACAGGACTTGAAATAGTTTATAATTTTCGGGTGTAGCAACGACCTTATCTAAAGATTAACACTGAATTGATTCATGAGTCATGACCAACACTATTATGTAGTGGTCAATTGTTATAATGTATGTTGTGTTTAGTTTTAAATACAATTAAATACAGAATTTGTAGTTTGCCAGATATTCTAGATAAACTTACTGTGTCGGAGTGAAAGATAAAGCACACCAATGTTCGCAAACACACCAATAACCAGGACTAGAATATTGTAGAACATTAACAACCCTTTCGTAGCCGTTGTCAGTACCAGCACATTTGCGATATTTGTCACGTTAGTGCCATATACCACGTGATCAAATAACACGTGGGGGGTACTGTTGCCAGGCAACGTGTCATTTATCAAGGATAGGTTAGTTGGCATGATCGTTACATTTGCTGCTGCGAACGTTTCTAACATGATCTAGGGAAATATCGATTTTTTTATTAAATTAATTTACAAACTATTGATTACAAGGTAGTACAGACAAATCCGTCTGAAAAAATCGATCTGCTGACACACGAAGCTTTCAGAGGATTTTTGACGTTTTTGAGTCCCATTAGGTGCCCTTTATGGCTGACCAACTTTTCCAAACTTTTCCACTTGTCTTAAGGCCACTTTTTGCCACTTTACCACTTTTTACCACCTTTCTTGTTTGTCGAATATCTTTAGTTGTGAACATCGTAAAAGGTTGCGGATCAATCGAGTGTGTTCATATTATCAGGAAGAAAAACTTTTGTTCAAACAATTTTTACGTCAGATAATAAGTTAATTGGATAATTATCAATTAACTAATTAGCAAAATTCTAAAAATTTTTTATTGGCTCAAAATGATCGGAATAGCTTGAAACACGGAGAAAAGTATTTTTTAGAAAAACTTTGAAAATTTTTCACTTACATTTTTTTTTCGAGACTTGAAAAAAATTTCGAAAATTCAAAATATTTTTTCCGCCAAAAGTGATCAAACCGCATGAAACACGGAGAAAAATTCCTTTCAAAAAAACTTAATACTTAAATCGCCAATATTTGTAGTTGGAGTTCAGTAAATCTCGGCAGATTTTAGTAAACAGGAATTACTAAGTGAAGAGGTCTGACACTGAAAAACGTTAACCATACGATCGCGCGGCGATATAAGAGTTTCATAAACTAATTTTCACAGAAACTGCACCAATGGCACAGTCAATATCGAAACGATAGCCTGCTGTACTGTCATTTTATTGATTTCAATGATGAATCAGTGGGGTTAAGATAATCACATTTGTAATAAATAAACATCTCTGTGCCGTCAATTGTGCTAATCTAAACCAGCCTACCTGTATTACCAGACCTCTTCTTTTCCTCGACAATCAAACCAAGTTGTTCATATCGCATTTGGTGGGTGATGTAAGTAGTAATACATATCGAGCTGTACTCAATCACAATGCGACACAATGCAATACGTGTATATTATATTATGGCCCTTAATGAGGTATATGAAACGTTCTATACCGTACACTTCTCGTTACTCCAGTGAGAGGCCCAGTATGGAGAGGTTTAACAGTTTAGCACGAAAACGTCTACTTGGCCTCATGGCTCTTTGACAGCTCAAAGAATGCGAGAAAAGACCAGAAAGCTTAAATTTTCAACTCCACATTAATCCTGAGCTGATCATCATGGCCCCGAATATCCTACGGGAAGAACCTGTATTTTTACCTCACAACGTCCGGATTTCAAATCAACACCCTCAATAACATTAACAATCCTTCCTGATCAGGATCTGTCTCTATTAGCAATTTCCAAAATATCCTGACTCTCGTGGAACATTTCACTGAATTAATTATTACTGGTTTTTTATTACCCCTTGCCCGTCATTCGTATCTACATCTTACCCTTGCCAGTATGTTACCCTTGCTGATTTTACGTTTAGCCGACCCTGACATATGGGGGTGATTTGAGGTAACCACCGATCCAGCATAGTAAATGAAGCGGTATGCAGAACAATACAATACAAGTCACAGTTGACATGATGTTGGAAGGTGTATTTACACTTGCTTCCTGGACCTGGCTGTTCCTTAGTTTCCCTGATCTGTTCTTGCCTTCTTCAAACTGTAAATGAGCCATGAGGCCAAGTATACGTTTTCGTGATAAACTTTAAAACGTCTCTATACCGGGTTTCTCACGGTATAAAGCGTTACATAAACCTCATTAGTCATTAAGAGCCATATAATATACACGTATTGTGTCGTAGTCTGATTGAATACAGCTCGATATGTACCTATTAGTTTCAATACTTTCAACACTATACTATATAACAAATAATTTTAATGACAGGATGGATTACTGAGGGCACTGTGTTAAGGTGATTTAAGTGGGTCCCAATTCCCACCGACCATTCTTCTTTGTGTTATGAATACTTGCTTCATCATCTCCTTTTAATAAAAATCACGGTGTCTTTATTGACTAAGCGTATTACTACTTACATCACCCACCAAATGCGATATGAACAACTTGGTTTGATTGTCGAGGAAAAGAAGAGGTCTGGTAATACAGGTAGGCTGGTTTAGATTAGCACAATTGACGGTACAGAGATGTTTATTTATTACAAATGTGATTATCTTAACCCCACTGATTCATCATTGAAATCAATAAAATGACAGTACAGCAGGCTATCGTTTCGATCTTGACTGTGCCATTGGTGCAGTTTCTGTGAAAATTAGTTTATGAAACTCTTATATCGCCGCGCGATCGTATGGTTAACGTTTTTCAGTTTCAGACCTCTTCACTTAGTAATTCCTGATTACTAAAATCTGCCGAGATTTACTGAACTCCAACTACAAATATTGGCGATTTAAGTATTCTTGAAACGAAAAATTCACTAAGTTTTTTTGAAAGGAATTTTTCTCCGTGTTTCATGCGGTTTGATCACTTTTGGCGGAAAAAATATTTTGAATTTTCGAAATTTTTTTCAAGTCTCGAAAAAAAAATGTAAGTGAAAAATTTTCAAAGTTTTTCTAAAAAATACTTTTCTCCGTGTTTCAAGCTATTCCGATCATTTTAAGCCAATAAAAATTTTTTAGAATTTTGCTAATTAGTTAATTGATAATTATCCAATTAACTTATTATCTGACGTAAAAATTGTTGAACAAAAGTTTTTCTTCCTGATAATATGAACACACTCGATTGATCTGCAACCTTTTGCGATGTTCACAACTAAAGATATTCGACAAACAAGAAAGGTGGTAAAAAGTGGTAAAGTGGCAAAAAGTGGCCTTAAGACAAGTGGAAAAGTTTGGAAAAGTTGGTCAGCCATAAAGGGCATCTAATGGGACTCAAAAACGTCAAAAATCCTCTGAAAGCTTCGTGTGTCAGCAGATCGATTTTTTCAGACGGATTTGTCTGTACTAAGGCACGAATTTAGAGTTTCCATAAAAGAAAATACACCATGTTTTGTCGAAGTTTCGGCTATAGGCCTTTGTCATGGACGAACGTAGCTGCAACACACAATAGTTAAAATAGATATAATAATATATGCAACATAACTATCAATAACGTGAAAAGTACCTAAAAAATACAAATATTAAACTAAAATAAAAACGCAACCCGTATTTTGCTTTACAGTGAGTGGAGACTATCATTTCGTCAATAATAATCGACCCACTCAAGAGAGCGAAAAAAGAAACATACTTATTCCCAGAAGTTTATAGAGAAATTACAGAGTTCGTTGCAACTGTAATGAACGGGAAAACTTTCCATGCAAGAGGATAAGAAACTTTACCTATGAAATTCAATTATGATGACAAAGTGGCACCGCACGGCATCTGATGTTCCAACATTTACATCCCAAGTTGAAGTACATACCATAATTAACATTCCATTGACAATCTAACTACAGTTAAAGTATCATCACATCTATAAGACAGTGCTAATAACTAAATAACTAATTGTGCAAAACTGAACGCTGCTATCGAATCTGCAATCTTCACTAACTCTAAGCTATTCTATACTATTAGAAATTTATCATTGGATTTTTGCCTCGGTTGAATATGCCGCTCTAAACAAAAATGGGCCCCATCAATGTCAGGCAATCGTTAAATAGGTGATGGTGACACTTTGACTTTCAAGAAGACGATCAAATTAAGACAATTTGTCTTGATTGGTATCGCGTTACGGCCCATGCCTCATAATATGCAGGTCTGGAATTTCTAACGGCAAGATATTACCCCAATCGAATTGGTATATCCACGAAATCGTAAAAGAGGTAATCTTCTGTACTTTACCAGTACAGAGGAACTGTTACTTTTTATAATTATAAAGAGGCCTCACACAGAGATGTTCTGTCAGCGCCAGCTTGATTTGTAATAGTAAATTACGCTACTGCGCCAATATTGTAGCTAAACAGCTGTTATACTCTAACATTTCAAGGCATGACGTAAACTGAGGATTTTCATTCGCTCAATAGTTAGGGCTAGAATCGAAATTTATGGGACCATCTGCATCTGGGAATTAATTCACAACAAAGGTTTCTCTTCAGGAATGTGTTGTCCACAGTCCCGGGAAACACCCCGAAACATTGTCAGACTGAAACTGATGGGAAACCCTTCTAGAGCAATTTTGCTCCAGGGACCCATACACCCCAACCTTAAAAGTTACAAATCGATTTTGGAAGGTCTGTGAAATCTTCTAAGTGTGTGCAAAATTCCCGCAATTGCTACATTTAGGAGAAGATTCAACAATTTGATAATGCCAAGACGGTACAAAATTACCTTAAGACCGATGCCATCCCTCGCAAGACTTGCTAATCTAGCAGCAACACTCTTGTTCAACAGCTAGAATCTGAAGTACGCAGATCTTGACATCTTGTGCAGACTTGCTGATTAACTGATAGTTCGACCTTTATAACCGAATTCGAACTTCAAGTTATCGATATTCATATCACCACCTGACCAGTCACCACGGTCTACGAAGTAACGCAATCGAATCCCCCCCCCCCCCCCCCCCCCAATAGAACGCAGTAAACACCCACAAATGTACAACAAAAGCAAAAACCACTACCAAAGAATTAATCATTAAAAGCGCAAAATAAAGAGCTTTACTATATCAGTATAGTAGTATATAGTAGTCAGTACACTAGTACCAAGCATCATTTAGTTCCCCCTGGTAAAGTCAAAGTACTGCATTTACTTACAGTGACATCGGGACACTAGAATCAGTGACTCAGACTGTCTGCGAGATGACTGTCATGTGACTGATGGAAAGTGACTGTCACGTGACTGATTAGATGGTAAATACCTGTCCTTCCCCGCTCTTCAATCAAGCTAATGAAAAAGTAATGAAGTGCAAGTGTGTCTCTTAGCTACCTGA